ATTTAAATATTCTGGGAAAATATCAGGTCTCTACATTTTTTTTTAACCGCATTATCACTAATAATAACAAAATATGAAATTATGATACCTATTTATATGCCTTTGTATTGTAAGTCAATGTAAACAATTCCGTTTTTCCTACGGTTTTCTCAATTATTTTGAACACAATCGTATATATTATTGCACCGACCAAAAAGATGATACTCTTGAAATTCAGAATAAGATTTCTAGTTGAAAAAAAAAAAAATGAAACTTTCATTGATGAAAATTTGTTCGTTTTTCTCAGTTTCTCATTGTGAACAAATGCTTGGAAAATCGAAAAACGGCCGGCTAACGTCTAAAGTACTACAAAAAACTCTCTTGTCGTCTTTTGATCGGAGCGAGGTATAAAAAAAAAAAAAAAAAACAAAAACAAACACGCGTCTCTTAATTGACCCGAAGCATTCCTCGTCGCGTTCCGAATCTAAAAGCGCGCACCGTCATAAGCGCCATGTACAGGGAGGCCGAGGGCCTTAAGACCCCCGCGAAATTCATAAGACGGGGTTAAGCTCCTAATGGTTTTATTTAAAAAGCGCTCATAATATATATCGCGTACATCCGCAAGACATTAAGGTGATTTTTATCCGCATCTGAAATAGTCGACCCCGCGACATTGTAAAAACTCGGTGCCAATGAACATCGTAGTGAAAAAAACCAACCGATACGATCATCTCGCTCAGAATCTAAAGAAAAAAAAAAAAAAAATGTTTAAACGTTTAAAATGTTTTTGCGGGCGGATGCAGGTTATTACCCCGGCCGTCTTCCGGCACAGTGATTTCGTCCGTCTCGTGCGATGATATTGCGGACGGCCGAAACTCGTCCGGAAACGAATTAACAATTATGTATAGGCGGGGGAGGGGGACGGGAGGACCGCGGCCGCCGAGTCAACATTAAAAATCAATACGCTCGCCAAGTTTTCGGAAAGCGCGGATTTCGGCAGTTCTTATTTTATTTTTATTTGTATTTTTTTCGGGCGCCGGCGCGTAACCGGGCACAATAATATATACGGGAAAATAATACCGCCGCGCGTATATGTTTTGACAGGGTCGGACCTTCGTCCGCTGAAATTCGATTTTTTTTTTTTATCCCGTATTATATTATACGGACCGTCGATGTCTCACGGTTCAAGACGTTCGCGGGTCGCTCCGGGTAGTTTCGAAAAACTATAAAATCGGGTGGCGGACGGTGGGTGGGGGCGGGGGTAAAGTCGCACAACACACGAGCGTACGGAGGGAAAGAAAAAAAATATAAAAGGTGAAAACCCCTCGCCGTGTGCGCACAATACGAATATAATAATAATAACACAACGTAACGCGTATGGGAACGTCGGCCCGGCGGCGGCGGTACCGCGCAGAGGGGTCGGCCCGCCGTCTGGTCGTCCGCGACCGGATGCTGCCGGCGCACCGCCCGGATATCGATCGGATTTATATACAGGGCGCTGAGGGGTGTAGGGTGGAGACGAGGGGCGGGCATTATTACTATACCTGTGTACGGCGGTGGCGGCGTGCGTGAGCCCGTCCTCCCCTCGTGTACGCCGTGTGCGGACCGTGTGCTGCGGGATCGCGACGCGCCCGGGCCGGGAAAACGCGCATACGACTACTGGAAACAAAAAAAACAAAAAAAAAAAAAAAAATCACACGACCCGCCAGGTATTATAATAATAATATTATTACGTTCGGGTGCATACCCTTTACCTGTGCGATACACTTTATTATTGTATTATATTATTGTATCAGCGTTACGCGGTGTGAGAAAATAATATACAATATATTATTATAATGCCCATCTTCGCGGCCACTCGATTCCCACGCGCGCTTTCGTGTTTCGGTCCGGGCGCAGGTGTGGACCCGCCGCCATCACACCGGCTACCGTCGTTTGTCGCACAGTTTCGATACACCGGTGCAGGTGAACTGTCGCGGAAAAAAAAACACCGAAACACAAGCCCCCGGCCGCCGGACCGCCGGCGAGAAAACTTGGTCGTCTCCTCGCCTCGTTCTCCGTCGCCGCTTTCCGTTTCCCTGCCCGCGAGTGCCCCGGTAAAATATTGTCGTACACACGCGTACATACATAGACGATGCGCGGTGACACGAGGACATCGGCACACACGTGATTAGAACCCGTCACACGTTATGTGGCATCACGCGGCGCTGTTTATCGATCGCGAAAATATCGAGACGTTTTTCTCACCCCTGTCCATGTAGGTTACACACCGGCGTGGAATGCACAAACGACAAAGTTATCGTGTGAACTGCATCGATCGATGAACAGAAAAAAAAAAAAATAATAATAATAATAATAATAAAACCCCCAATACCGTCATAACGTAAAAGGCTGACACTGCTGATGGGTGTGCCGCTATTTCGGGTGGTGGGCAGTTGGACGGGCGGACATACAGAGTAATTTCATTTGTATCTGTGCGCAACGATATGCCTTTGCAAAAAAGAAAAAAAAAAAAAAGAAACGATTCTGTACCGAGTATTATTGGTCGTATTTTTCCCTAGTTGTGAAAGTAAGGCAGAAATCAACAAAAGTTATAGAAAAAACTTCACCGGTATTTCCCGTTTTTTTGGATTCTGCGCGAAACGAAAAATGTATTGGTTTTACTGGGCTTATAAAATGTGATATTTTTAAATTTATTTTCGTCTGTTAACAACTTTTCATCAACATCGTATTTTGATAACAGTTGTAAATTAAATAATTCTATGTATCCTGCTTTCCGGACTTCCCACCTACTTCCCGCTGACTAACAATCGTTTTAAGAAAACTATAAGGAAAATCAAAAAAAATTACCTCTTCAACGCTCCAATTAGATCAAAAATGCTGCCAGAAAGTCGCTAAGCGAGATTTATGGTAGTAAAGTTACAGGCACGACATAAAACACGTCACAGTAAAACTTCTGTCCTCTCAGAGTCTATAATTTTATAGCCGGTGTAATGAAACGATGTATTTTTTTGTCACTGTATTTGATTGCGTGTACACTCAGAACGAGCGGAAATTGTTCAATTTTAAAAATACTCTCCCTCTCTTTGGTAAATTATTCATCGGGGACACTGAAAAAAACGTATTAAAATTCATATACCGAAGTGCCCATTACACACTCAGTTTAGCCGTAATATTATTATGCTGTAAACACACGGGTAAAAGGAAAATAGAAAAGAAATTAACATGTGTAGGGTGTGTATCGAAAAAAAAAAAAAACCAAAACAAAATCTACGGGGTTTAATTAAACGCCTCCGCGTGATTTCCGTGTCGGCCGAATAATTGAAAACCGCCGCGTCGCCGTCGTCGGCAGATGACGGACTGAACTAATTGTTATCATTACGTCGGGCTGATTACCACGCCGGCCGTAACAAGTCCGAGGAGTTCGGGTCGTGAAAGTTTCACCGAACCAAACCGGCGCACAAATTACCGCGCACGGCGCGCGTAGCAGCTCGCCAGAGATCAAAACGACCGAATTACGCTACGCACGTGAAATCGGATATAGCGTACCATCATTATTATACATCATTACAGGCGCCGATTGTTTTATAGATAAGGCCGACTGGATGGATCTGTACGTTTCAGACGAATAATCGGAAACTAGAAAGCATTTGGTGCGGATCGCACGCGAGGCTCGTAATGCATTTGTCTAAATTGCATTCGATATTACGTGCCGCCGCGCGGCTAACCACCCCGTATCGTAGTGAATAATAATATGAATTTTGTTTTAAACACGGGTTTTCACTTTGCCGTGATGAAATAATTGTATTGTGTTGTGCGTGTACGTACACACGTACCAGAGGTGCGTACTGTGTACCGCATTAATGTTTAACGCATTATAGTGAAACGAAAACGGACAGAGCGAAATATTTCAAACAAAAAACAAAAACTTAGGATTCGGACAGTTGCCCGTACAAATAAAAACGGTCCGAGGGAAAGAATGAAAAAAAAATTCCATTTTATTTTTGTCGGCGTTGTTGTTTAGCGTATAACTTGGGGGTAGCTAGCTACCGGCTATGTAATGCCGCGAGTGTGGGAGAAGGGGAGGGGGCAAAATATAAAAAATCTTAAAATAAAAATTTTTAAATTTAAATGTGTACAGATTATTATATTATATTCGTTTTTCATGAGTGGTGTATTGCCCCCTTCCTCCCCATAGCACACCGTGCGAATATTATACCGAACACTTTAAAAATATCAAACCTATTGGTTGAGTATATTCGTATATCCACAAGTAAGATACTAATGGAAATAGTAATCTTCAAAATATAATTTTATCGAAATTTAAAATGTGTTACTACGTCTTTGGTTTCGCGGAAAAAGAGTTTAATTGACAGTTTGTGGCAGTTGCACCGCCGTTACGCCGTATTTAACAATAATTCACGACATTGAATTTGCTCGTATTNTTTTTTTTTTTTTTTTTTAAAAATAACTTATGATTTAAACGGTATGAGTACAGTATGCGTGTTTTAAATAAATCTACCGCGTCGTCGTGTCAAACCGAAAATTAAAACATCACGATTCACTATGAGACGCGCGCCTATTGTCGGGCAAAAAACAGACACTAGCCATATCTCGTGTTGTACAGAAACGTTTAGCTATTTAGCAGTTGCACCGCCGTTACGCCGTATTTAACAATAATTCACGACATTGAATTTGCTCGTATTTAAAAAAAAAACTATAAAACATATTGACCCGAGCCTCGTTCCCCCCCGAGACCAAACGCGCGTTCTTATACTCGCCGGCCCGGACCCTTCAAACGAATAAAACCGCCGCAGACGATATCGCGCAAACGCATACAGGTACATTTGTAATCGGCGTGTACATCCGTAGTGGATGCACAAACATGAACTACACAAAGAACTACTAGAACAAAAAAAAAAAAAACAAAATGACTACGATTTCGCTCGGGTCTCGGACGTTTCTCCCGGACTAGATGGGACGCGTTCGCGAACCCCGTTATCCGCGGGCTTCCGGTCCGGTTACAGTTTCCACACGGACACGCGAGTGCCGGCGGACGTCTCTCTGGCAATACGCGACGCCGTGCGTTCCACATTCCGAAATTCTAATAGATATCGGTATTTGTCACGTTGAGAGCGAGGCGTCGACAATGCGCGAACAACGGGGACCAGAGAGCGCCGCTTCTCTCCTCGGCACCCTGCGTTCGCTTCGTACTCGCGAACGACCGTAATTTCGGTCGTTTTTTCCGGAATCGAATCCGGCTCGCAGCGCGACGGCGGCGGTCCGACGGGCGCCGGTGAACCGGAGGCCTCGCTGCTGGCCGAGAAGTCGTCGGATATGGCGGCGACGCTGGCGGCGCCGGTCGTCGTGCTCGTGGCGCTCGTCGGACGGCCACCGACCTCCGACGCGGGACTCGAGAGCGAAGAGCCGTGAGCTTTTTCCCCGTGCCTCGAACCGAACGTGTCGTCGACGGTGATTGACGGCGGCCGGAGGGTTCGTCCTCGGAAATCGATCGGGGGCCAAAAGGCGGAGTGACCTGCGTGGAATCCCGAAGCGGAGTCGGCCGTACGGCCCGTCGTGGTAGCGACGAAACCGCAACGACTCGGCCGCGGCGCAGGCGACAAGGCTTTTGTTCCGGACGACGCCGATGGGGTGTCCAACAAAACAGGATTATTGCCCGGACCGCGGACGCCGCATCCTTTTCGGCCGTCAGCTTTTTCCCACAATAATAATAGTATACGGCCAGTGATGAATTATTAACGGGTATGCGAATTATTGCCATTAGGCGCGTGTCAATATTATTGACGAATTCGCATTTGGTCGTGGCGACGCGACACGACGCGACACTATTCGGCCAGCATTTGTTTCGTATAAAACAATTATACGATTTGTAATGCACATGAAATATACCGGGCTAGAAAAATTGCACGATGCCGATAATGATATTGCGACTATTGCTCAGGTACAAATAACTCAATTTTTTTTTTTTTTTTTAGGAAGGATGAAGTACTCGATTAAAGGGCTTTGATGAGTTTCGGGCACCGACCCCCCCAACCTCCTCTTATTTACGTCAATGGTAAATTGTGGTAAATTAAAGGCGTTCGTGTCCGTCGTACATTACTTATTCGTGGTTCGAATGAGATTGTTAGCTGTGTCTGAGTCGCAGACTTTTTGGAAACATTCCATTGTGCTACCAAAAAGCAACGCTCTTTCATCTTATCACTGTCCTTAGAATTACGCGTAGTTCGGAGTGATTCGAAGGGAAATAACGATGTGAAAGCCGAGACAACGCTATTAAAATGTACAAGAAAAAATCACATTCTGTCACATACACGAGCACATCAATATGGAAAATTATCTTGAATAATTTGTTTTAAAAGCAAAAATGTTTGCTACTCGAAAGGGTTCGTTTATGTTGCATCGCAACTGCTTTGATGGTTTAAAAAATATCAAACGGTAAATAATAATAGTATTGATTTTACTATTACAATGCACAGTGAAACGACAACACTAATGGACTCGAGAGTTGTTGAAACTTGAAAGACAGTCGCTCATCATATCGGTTTTTTAAATCGAAACTGGTCGTTAGCGAACACAACCATGCAATTATCAAGATACTCTCGAGATGAGTTTTTTTTTTTTTTCTTTTCCTATTAACCGATTTTAAGCGCGGCGAAAAGCTCGTGCACGCGTTATACGTCCTGTTTAAATTAGATACCTATGTATAAGTGTTTTTTTTTTTTTTCCATCGAAACAATAGTATACATCACGTGCGAAACAAAACGTGCGACAGAAATTATTTATCGGCGGGAGTGAGCGGAGGGGGGGAAGGGGGGGTTATTTACTTTGAAATGTGCAACCATAATAGAGTATACGCGCTCCAGGCGTCCAGCACGTCGCAGTTCATGACGGACCAATATAAAATAATATTATTACGGCGCGTGATGGTTATATGGGACCCACGACAATGTCTGTTTGATTTACAACCCGTAACAATGTATAATAATACAGTCGTTGGGCGACGAAGACGTCAGGTCCCTTTTTATGGTCGAGTCGTTTATTTAGAAAATAATAGTCGCCATTGAAATGCGGAGGGACGCGGGGAATCGGCGCTGGGTGTGAATCGGGCGCCTTTGGTCGATCGCCGACGGGCATCATAATACGGCGTGGACGGCGGTTGACGGTTATTTTTTTTATATTTTTATTTTTTTTTGCTCTACGAATCGTTACTTTTTTCTCGTTTAGGTTCATGCGCATAATAACGCAGCCGAGGTACGTTTTTGTTTTTTTTTTCTTTTTAATTTTTAACGATTTATTGTAGCAGACCTTTTTTGTGTTCGGATTTTTATTCATCGAAATAATAAACGATCGACGTTCGCCGTTCACCGCTGACATTATCGTGACGGCAACACGGAATATGTAATATCTAAATGTACGCGTTTAATAGTCTGATACAGTTATAAAAACGGCTGTAATAGTTGCGAACATTTATAATAGAACTCGTACGCTACAGATCGGCGTTTTACAGCGTTATTAGTCCGAGGCTAGGAAAATAATGTTTTAAAAACGTACAGTATATGTATTGAAATAATCAATAATAATGATACAATAAGGCCGCTTTTCAATCGTGGAAATGCTATTGAAAAATGCGTTTATTCTTGAAAATCGTATGACAATGCGAACAGACGCAACATTAAATTTTATATTTAAACTCTCCGGCGTACGAATCGAATATCGTTTTTAATAAGTCAAGTGCTATAGTAATATTGAAATACAAATGCTTACTTTAAAATTCTTAGCCGTAGTTGTTACCGTGACTGCTTAAATATACACGAGGAATATGCACTAGTTTTATTATGACGTGATTTATTTTTGTGTTTGTTAACAACTTGTGTAGCACTTTTTTCTACAATAAAATGTTTTGCGTCGAGGAGATAATTTTTTTTCATTTCTTTCGTCGTTATCTAAATGATTGAGCAACCAGGGGCAAAACGGGAAAATTCATACATTTCGACCACGGATAGAATGCTCGAAAATACGATAAAACGATCGCCGTGAATCTCTTCAAGTGCTATATCCGTTTGAAGTCCGAATTTTAACGAAGACTCATCTGCGTACATATAGATGGGTTTGTGAAATGGAAAACGGGCGTTTCCGGTCTGTGTGGACGAATGCATACTGTACATTTCGGATGTAAAACAAAACATATCGTATGACTGCGGCGGCGTGCTTTTTTTTCAGTGCGGGCACTTTGGCGAACCCGTCTATGGATAATATCGTCAACCTCGTCGCATTTCGTGTTTTTTCAGACTTCCCGTCCGGATATCGGTTCGGGCGATACGAGCACGCGACCGTACAGTTTTCGTGGGTCTTCGTACTCAACAACAACAACAACAACAGCGAAACGAAACCAACAGAATACGTTGTGATTGTAATTATTTAAAACGTATAATCCGAGAGACCTAGCTACGCATAAACATACACCGTATATTGTAATATCCGTGCCGTGTAAATTATTCAATTTTCATTCCGTCGGCTGGTATCTATACATAAACGCCACGTTGAAATACGCACGGGTATAGTGGCGGTTTAATATTCGTATATAAAAAAAAAAAAAAAAACCGATTTGTTCGCATTAGCATAACGCGCAATATAATAATAATATATAAAACGTAATTGTATTATTGTAATAATATGCGATGAACTGCGTCGTCTAGACACCACTAACCGGAAATACCGCGGGGATGAAAACCAGCGGTACAACATTTTTTTATTATTGTGTACATTATCGTCATAACCGCGCCTCCGTGCGTATTGGCCGCGATTCATTGTTATTGAAATTTATGAACGTTTTACTCGCGCGCCAGGTTCTTTCCTGCGCGCCTTGTGTAATAATATACGTGTATCGGTGTATAAGTGTGTACGTGCAGATACACACCCGAATGGCCCAAATATATTTTTGAGTGTGGTGGGGGAGGGGGGGGGGGTTAATCCTCTCGTAATATTACGATTAGAATGACTGCGTACACGCTATAGGTACTTGTATGCACTACGCGTACTTACTCTATGGGAATTTGATTTCCGGGGTGTACGGCACGGCAATCGGTCGTGCCGGTTTTTAAATATTGTGATATTGAAATCATACATGAGTACACTACAGTACTACTTGTACTACTGACCTAACTCGTCACAAACGTAATTGAATGTTTCACGAACGAGTGTTTGATTACGAGGAATAGCGTACAACGAGTAGCGAAGGTGGCCAAACCGAAAGAGTATTAATTACTATCCACTGCGGTAAGTCGTGTTCTTTAATCAACATTTACGTATATTAAGTTTTCACACGTCTCTTTTTGATAATTTAATGCAATGCATTTCACGATTTCATGTTTTAAACCTAATTTTAGATTCTGAGCGGAGCGAGGAATGTAATGGTTTTACAATGGTGTTTATTTTTTTCTGTGAAAAACTTTTGTACTGGTAATTTACCTCCGATTTTCAAATGTAGCTCTTTTTCTCGAAGGAGATTTGATTGGGGTGGCAACAACTTTAGAAAGGACATTTTTTGATTATCCAAGTGGTTTTCATAATAAATGGGAAATTTAAGAAATATATAATTTTTAAATCGTATATACAAGTATATTACGGCTTTTCAAAACATGTGAAACCGAACTCTGCTCAGTACATTTTTTTGTTAGCAATGGTTAATCGTTGCTTACAGATATATATTAAATTTCCCCTCTACCTTTCCAACTTCTCACATACGACAGTGGCCCACAGATCGTACGAAGTATGTTCGTTTGTTTTTTTTTGTAATCTGTATAATTAAGACTTAGAACAAAAACCCTGTATCATTCGTATAAACGATTACAACTTCAAAAAAATCGCATGCGGTCTTTGTTGTGAATTAGTCACGTTCGAATATCTGTCATAAAGTGTGCAGTGTCAAAACTCACAAAGCTGCGAAACCTATGTCGGTGTAATCACAAAATTTCATCCCCTTAATATTAACCCCCCCCCTCCCCTCCTCAACTATCATGGGAGTAATTAATCACTAACATAATATCCGATTTTAACCCGTTAAATTGCAATGGAATACTGAAAATTGCAATTATAAAATCAAGTAGTTATTTTTATTATTTAGTTTTTTCCAATTAACAATTGTAAAAATATATTTAAAAAATACGCACAAACGTATAAATGACCCCCATAAAAAACTGATAATTAAAAACAAAACTAACATTTTTTTTTTTTGTCGGTTTTAAGTCCTGATTCTAATTTAAGATATCCTGAATAAACAAGACTTGTATTTTATTACTTATATACTTATATAAGTAACTGATATATTCACTACTTATATACTTTTTATAATTAAGTATACTCGCTTGTTTTTTGTTTTTGTATAACATTTTTAAAAAAACTAGGTGGCTGATAATGATATAACTATTATAATAAGTAATTTATGGCATAGTACATATAAGTGCATAACAGGTGAAAAATAATTACAAGGCCTATAATATAGCTGCAGTATTATACCAACAATGGCTTTTTGGAGAGTTCCTGTCCTATATAAGAAAAACGAAGGCTCAGTAATTATTATTAACGTGTCGCGTAAAAATAAAATAAATATGAATTAGCATAATACACTTTTTTTTCTTATGGAATAACTACTTTGTATTTTCTTTTAACTTTAAATATTATGCTATCTGTTAACACACTAATGTTATAAATAATTATAATACGAGTAGGCACATACGATAGCTGCAATAAGCTGAAAGTATCTAAATAACTGGTAAACTGGTCTAAACGGTTTTTAATTTTCTTCACATTTCTCTAGTCCCGACAGTTTTTCAAAAAAATATTTGTTTTAAAAAAAAGAACAACAAAAAATTTTACGAAACGTCTTGTTTTAGGCAAAATCGCAAAAATCTGATACTAAAAATAAAATATTGCGTAGAGTCCGAAAACTTTTAGAAGCCCGATTGTTAAAATTCTGCAATATCTATGAGCGAATTACTAATTTTTAGATTCTTATTAGAGCGAAGAACCTTATGGTTTTACAAAGATGTTTATTTTTTTTAAATTTTTTTTTCTGTGGACAGCTTCTTCGCCAGAGTTTCCTCAACAAATGCGAAAAACTAAAAAAAAACTGTGGAAAAACGGAAAAATGTAAAAAATATAAGTATATTAGTTAAAAATATTACGGCCTTCTTTTTTTCTATGGACAACGTTTCTACCAGCAATTTTGCTCCAACGTTTAAAGATAGCAATGTTACTAAAAGAAAATTTTACTATGGAGGTACTTTGAAGAGGTCGTTTTTTGATTTTCTCGGAAGTTTTTTCAGCAAATGTGAAAAACCAGGAAAAAACATGGCAAATAACAGTAGCTGCACCCGTCACCATTATCCTAAGACTTCTTTATTATATATTATCATCAACTGAGGACTTTGGAGTGATGATCAAATAACAAGAATTTTTTTTTTAAAATTGCCCAGGTGCGATAAAATCATTTTTTATTCGATTATTGCGCTTAAAATTAGAGATGTTTTGTTTCCTATAAATTATGCCGTCGAAAAGTGTTTTTTCAAAGAAAACAATTTTAGTAGTCCAGTTTTTGCACCGAGTAAAAATAGTAAATAGAGGGGTCTTACAGGGGCTTGTGTCCTCCATAATTGAGTCTATAACATGTGAATACTATGTGTACATAATCAATATTCCGTGGGTGTTAGGTCCCTAAAATATTTGAGCTGTTTTCACCTGTGGCACCAAAGTCTTCAATTATCGAAAAAAAAGCGTTACGAATTGTAATTTACAGTCGAAAACCGTCAGTTTAGACTTATGATCGCGAATATTTTTCGATCGAGTCTCGTCAATAGCCGTTGCAAGCGGTGTAGTTTCGGGAAAACT